CACCTCTTCCATGGGGACACCTCCAGATGGGGACCTTTTTCCATCTCTTCCAGGAAGGACCCTTGGCTACCTATCCCCGGGGACTCCTCTCAAGGGGACTTCTTCTAGGGAGACCCCTGTCCACCTCTCCCATGGGGATGTCTCCAAATGGTGTTCTCCTTCCACCTCCTCAAGGGGATCCCCTCCAAAGGGAATGTCTCTAACAAGGACCCGAATCCACCTCTCCCATGGGGACATCTCCAAATAGGGATCTCCTTTCACCTCTCCAAGGGGGGACCCGTGCCCACCTCTCCCGGGGGACTCCTCCAAAAGGGATGTCTTCCAGGGGGACCCATGCCCACTTCTCTTGAGACAGCCCCAAATGGGGGATGACCTTTCATCTCTCCAAGGGGGGGCCCTTGGCCACCTCTCCAAATGGGGGACCTTCTCCCAAGAGGACCTTTTCCAGGGGGACGACCCCTGTCCACATCTCCCAATGTCTCCAAATGGGGGACCTCCTCTGCCTCCTCCCAAGGGGGTATCTCCAACAGGGACCCTCTTCTGCCCCTCCAAATGGGACCCTCTGGCCTCTCTCAGGGGGGCATCTCCAAATGGAGGAGCTCCTTCTATCTCTTCATGGGGACCCCCTCCAAAGAGATTCTCTACAAGAGGGACCTGTATTCACCTCTCCAAGGAGATTCTCTCTAAATTGAGGACCCTCTCCCACCTTTTCAAATAGGGGACCCCCTCCAAAGAGACCCCTTCTGCCTCTCCAAAGGGGACACCTCCAAACGGGAAGATCCTTTCTGCCTCTCCAAGAAAGGACCTTCCAAGGGGGGACCCCACTCTAAAGGGGACCCCTCCAAGGGCTCCTCTCCACCCTGACCTCCCCTCTCTCTCTCCCCTCCAGGCTTCCTGATCTCCAAGTGCTGCTTCCCCATCTTCAAAGCCAAGACCGGCAAAACCAAGCGAGTCCGGACCATCTTCACCAGTGACCAGCTGGCCCGGCTGGAGAAGGAGTTTGCACGGCAGCAGTACATGGTGGGCACGGAGAGGTGCCTGCTCGCCTCCTCCCTGCACCTCACTGAAGAGCAGGTAAGCCCCACCATGCTCCATCTCCACCAGGTCCAAGGAAGCTCCCAAACCTGTGTGCCAGTGGGTGGGACCTGGGCCATGTTCCTCAGCCTGGGGCAGGAGCCATGTGGGATAGTAACTGCAGATAGTTCACATTAAAAGGGTGGAGGATCACAGATGGGGAAACTGAGTCACAAAGTGGCTGTCCTAGGGCCACATGGAGGGATCAAACTTGTGTCCATCTTAAGGCTGGACCTTCTCCACCACTGGCAGGTCCCAGCTCACCAATGCAGGCTCAGCTTCTGGGTTGCAGGGGACAGTTTTCCATCTTTCTAGGGACAGAGCGTGGCAGGGGATGTCTGTCGTGGCCAGCCAGGGGATGTCTGAAGCTGTGGGCACCTAAGGGTTTGTGGAGTGTCTGGGCACTGCCTGAGCCATGGGAGTTTAGCAGACCATGAGTCCAGACCATGGACTGGAGTTTAGCAGACCATGGAGAAACCAGGTTTGAAAGCCGAGCTTTACCTCTTTCTAAGGTGAAAGTCTGGTTCCAAAACCGGAGGATCAAGTGGAGGAAACAAAGCCTGGAACAGCAACAAGCCAAACTGGCCAAAATGGGTTTGGCCACCCCGCAGAGGAGCCCCGACTCTCAGAGCCACCACAGTGAGGAGGACAAGGACTTCCCAGCGGAGTCGGAGGACAGCCAGGAGGACACAGCCTCCTCCCCAGGCTCAGGGACGGCACCTGCACAGACTGTGGCAAAGAGCTGCTGAATCGCCCCTTCGGGCTGCTTTTCCGTGTGTATTATATGAATGTATCATAGCTGGCAACGTATCTAATATATACAGGGCACCAATTATTTTTGCAGTGCGAAAATAAATTATTTATGCAACTCTTGGGCTCATCTTTGCATGAGGAGGAGGAGGAACAACACATGCCTGCAGTGGCAGCAAGCGTTCAGTGAGGGCTTGTTCATGGGAGCAAGCCCTGGAGGTCCAGGGGAGTGGGGACCACCTGCACACCCCACCCACAATAAGTCCCATAGCCAGGCTCGTCCCAAAGGCGCTGGGTGCTGATACCTCCTTGGGGTTTGTTCTTGGAGCAAGCCCTAGAGGTCCAGGGGAGTGGGGGCCACCTGCACACCCCACCGACAATAAGTCCCATAGCCAGGCTCACCCAAAGGCGCTGGGTGCTGATACCTCCTTGTGCTCTAAAATAGCTTAGGACCTTCGCAGAGCCCAGGTCCTTGTAGAGGACCTCCATCTCATGGTCCATCCATCTTCCTACCAGCAGCATCTTCACCGTAAAGCCTTGCCCTGCCCACGGCTCACCCATCCCGACCCAGTGATGGCATCCGGCTCTCTGTGGCTTTCGGAGCCAGAAATGTACCTGGAGAGCAGAGCTGGTGGTGGCTTTGTGAGCTGGACACCTGGGGTGCCATCTCAGCTGGGCAAGGATGAGCCAGGTTTTAATTTCAATTGCTTGACCCTGCGTGGGCAGATGTAGAGGTTTCAAATCCGGCAGGTTTGGGCTGGACACTGGCCTGGGGATGAGCCAAGGGTGGGCTCTGCTGGGAGCTGGGGAGCAAGCAAGAACCAACGGCCCTGGACCTCCTAGATAAGAGCAGCAATGGGGACATGTGGGTGCTCGCCCGGGCAGCCCCAGCTCCTGCTAACCGTATTTTCTCCGTGTCTGGGCTTGGGGCTGGAGGAAGAAGGGACCCAGGTAGAGGGTTTATTTGGGCAGGTAGGAAACCTGATGCAAGGAGAGGGGGAGAGGGGATGAGGCAAAGGGAAGGGGATGATCCAAGGAGAAGGCGAACAATGCAAGGAGACAGGGGACAATTAAGAAGGGGATGGTGCAAAGAGAGGGGACAGCACAAGGAGAGGAGGATGGTGCAAGGAGAGGGGGAATGACGCCAGGAGAGGGGGACGGTGCACGGGGAAGGGGACAATACAAGAAGAGGACGATGCAAGGAGAGAGGGGTGGTGCAGGGAGAGGGGGGCAACGCAAGGAAAAGAGGACGATGCAAAAAGGGGACAGTGCAAGAAGAAGGGGATGGTGCCAGGAGAAGGGGACGATGTGACGGAAGCTGCCCTTTGTTCCCGCTGTTTTCAGAGCCGGGATTAGCCGGCACGTCTCAAAGAGCCCAAACTGTGCTAATGTCTTCACATGTCTGCTGAGAGCCCAGGCTGCGCCAGCGGGTTTAACCCGCTAATCTCGCATGCCGGTGGGTTTATTGCAATCATCCCCGAGACAACAGGGCTTACGGGGGATGTTTTAATATCGCCCGGCCGGGGGCCGAGCTGATTGCGAGAGTTAAGTTGTTCTCAGGACACCTTTAATCCCCTGGGAGCTGGCAGGGCTTCGCCTCGGGCAGGATTGGGCCTTTTGGTGGTGGGGCTCCTCCGGGGCAGGCAGCGGGGGACCCGTCCCTGCTCCAGGGGATGCTCCCGCTTGGACCCCTCTGTGGGCAGCCTCCAACCAGGGAAATGACTTTAATTAAAACTGCTGGGCTTGATTGAGTTTTCAAAAGGTGACTTTTCTATGAGATGAATTAAATCACATCCATCCCTCTGGCACCTTGGGCTTTGGCTAGAAGCCTTTTCTCATGATGGGTGATGATCCTGGAGGGGTGGCCGGTCCCTGGGGGTGCACAGGGCTCAGGACCTCTGGGTCCCCTTTCCTACCTGCCTCAGGACAGCCGGGGGCCGGGGAAGGCCATCCTCTGCCTTCCTCCCACCCAGTGATGAACCTGTTGGCAGGGTGGGGAAGGGACAAAGCAGCCGATTACTGCTCCAGTGGGGATGAGAAGAGCCAGGTTTGACCTTGATAATGGGATGAAGTTGATGGTTTTCAGAAAAGCTGGATTCAGCTGGGTCATTTTATGCCCTGCCAAGCCCCCACTGGCCCTGGCATCCCAGAAAGTGGGTAGAAATGCAGTTTTCTTCTCCCATCAGAGACAACTCCCTCCCCGGTGCGGGGAGCAGATCTTGCAGCTGAGCCCAACTCCTGGCAGCTCGACCAGGGCACATGGATTGGGATCAAACCCGGGCACAGCGATTTGGCACCGTGGAAAATAAGGGAGAGGGGTGCTCTGAGAGCTTGGCAAGGTCTTGGGCTGGATCAACCCACCTGGGACAGAGCCTTGGCTCCTCTCATGCCCTGTGCAGAATAAGAGCATTTTGGCTGCGTGTCCTTACCCAAACCCCACACACATCCCAAAAAACCCGCTAGTCCCTTCCCAGTCCTGTGTATCACATTACTTTCTTAAAGATACTGGTTTTTTCACCTGTTTGCAAAAAACAAGTTGGCTTTCAGTGGCAGATCATTGTAAGGAAGTGAGAATTAAGCAGCCTTATTAAGAGGATAAAGGTTATCTGCTAAAGATGTGGTGCTGAGCAAATCTCTGCTCTGTAGATAAGTTGGCGGCTTGTAGGAGGGCAGATAGGTTGTGAGACGAGTGGCTGGATGTATTAGGGTGGACTATTTGCCCAGAAGACCAGCCTGGTGTGCATGTGGATAGATGGATGAGTGGATGATGGGGGATGAATGCAGGGCGCTAGCGAGTAGGTGCAAATGGGTGGCTGGGTAAATGGGATGGGATGGGAGATGGATGGAGAGATAGGAGAAGGGATAACCAGGTGGAGCTGTAGCGTACGGCTCCTCCGTGTCCCCCCCCCC